AGGGATAGCAATGATCGTAGTCATGAATGACAGTCTTATTTTTAGAATTTTTTCACATTTTTCAAATTATAAAGACATCTACTAAATTGAAATAATTTATTAAATTTTTTTTAATAAAATAAATCTTCACTTTAAGTTTAAGCAGGACGGTGATTTGCCTGGTGATCCTTTAAAATTATTCTTTGCAGAGATTTGCTACTCAGAACTATTCGCTTTAAATACTGATTTATCTATCTTCCGCGCAATCATAGTTCGACTCTTTTATCACCTTCAAAATTGATTCGATAAAGAACCAAGTCACAGCCATGCATAGTTCGGCTATTAATGAATTCGAAAATGTTTTCGATACGGATCCCATTCACAGCTAAGCATTAAATTACTAGATCAAAAAATTATTTAAATTATTTAATAACTTAAAATTATTTATTATTTATTCAGAAATTAAAAGAATTCGACTAAAAACCAATAGAGTTGATCCAACATCAAAATTAGGGAGATCTAAAACTATAGCTTGCTTTTCTATGTTAAAAGATAAGATCCACACTGTATATTTTTAAATACATACCCTATTCGACCAGTTAGCAAGTACTGTCGATCTGGTGGATTAGAAGAAAAAAAGAATAGATTGCTTAATCGCTGGTTAATAGCTCTACATTACATTACTATATTAAGAAATATTTTTAATTCAAGATATTAAGAAATTAAGAGAATTCGACTATAATTAGAGCCAAAAAAAATCAAAACCAAGGCGGGTATTGAGGCTACTTGTATTTGAGTAGTTAATTCTCTTGTGAAAGAACAAATTTATATGGCGAAGCAATATTTAATTGTGAGACATTTATAATTTATAAGCAGATTAGTATTTATTTCTATTAGACTGTTATAATACTTTTTTAATTACATATATTTTATTTGCACTACACTAATAACACTTCTATTGTTTTTTGTTTTAATTTATTTTTATTTTTATTTTACTTTTATTTGATTTGTAAAATTATAAATAAAATTAATATTATTTATATTTTGTAAAATTATTAAGAATTGTGGTTATTTAAATTTATTAAGTTATTTAAAATTTGTTTAAAGTATTACATTTATTTATTTTTTTATAATATATTGTCTTTTTATTCTTAACTAAAGCTTTTACTGTAAAAAAAGCAATATTAGTAATATTTTTATAACAATTAGTTACTATTATTAAAATTTAAACACTTTAAGAAAATGTTTTATAAGTGATTATATTTTCCTAAATTTTTAAAATTTTTATAAATTATTATATTTTTATAAATTATTATATTTTTATAAACTATTCATTAGTTACTATTATTAAAATTAAAACACTACATGAAACTGTTGTGCAAATTATTAAATTTCTATAAACTATTAAATTTGTATAAATTTTTAAAATTATTTATTGTTTATCACATCTGGTACGTCATAATTATTATGAATACACAAATTAATATTATATTTTTAAAATTTTTCAAACCATTTTGTATCTTTTATATATTTCATTTTATTTTATTTTTTCTAATCAATTTGGATGCATATTAAGAAGACATTAATTATTTTCCAATAATTCATCTCAAATATTATTGAAATTTTTAAATAAGTTTAAATGTATATGATTTTTTCTTTTAAGATATTTCGATTTTTAATAAAAATCAGAAAAAAATCACTTTGAAGTAATTGAATTTTCCTTAGGGTAAATATTCTGATTTTATGATTTTTTTTCTTTACTTTTCATTTATATTAAAAGGCACAGAGTATCCTGTCGTTTTATTAAGAAAAATACACATTTGTACACACATAAGTAACGAGTAAATTGAAGCTGTGGCACATCATAAACTCATAAAACCAGAACTGAAACAACAGCACGAAGAACGGAACGCACTTAAATGGCTGCGATACCCCAAAGCAACGAAAATCGCAAGACACACTCTCACTCACCTACTCGCATACAAACAGAACACACACTGAATTAACGAGATTGCATACACACATGCATACGAAAAGCTCATAAGTATCATTTAACTGTTTGCATGCAAAAGATGGCCACACTAGGCACTTGTTGCTGTTGTTGTTGGCACTGTTACTTTGTGATTTATGTTGAAATTATGTGATATGTGCGGCAAAATATTCAAATTCAAATATCAATTCAAACGTCAAATCCATCAAATCATTTTGCACACAATCATTAATATAATATTATTTATTTTTTAAATTTAAAATTCCTTGTTAAATTTACTTTAATCCATCAGAAACTCGCACACATATATATTTTTTATATTAATTTTTTTTTAATTTTCTTAGTTCACTATTTATTTGTTCGAAGCTATGTTTCAGATCAGAACCTTCACCGACCGAAGTCAACTAACGAATGAACTTGGCGCGTATCCTGTTACAGCCTTTATATGAATTTTAGCAGACGAAAGGACAATTTTTTTTAACTTTTCGCATTTGTTTTGCAAATGTTATGCATGATACGAGAACAATTATGCAAAGCAGTACGTACAAATAAGATATTCTCGTACAACAGAGGCGGATTGTAGATAGACAGATAAGAATAATTAGAGCACGTTTTGATCTCAGTTGTATTTGGAATAAATTTTAATTAGTTATAATTAAACCACTTTAAGGAATACCAATAAAGTCCAAAATTTTATCAAATTTAAAGGAAAACACCCCCTGTATATTAAAAAAAAATTAATTAGAATGCCATTTTTTTTTCTTTTTAAAAAAGAAAAAAAATATTTTCGTACAAACTACTGATATCTTTTCAAATTTGGACTTACACGTTTCGTCTGTGGACTTCTATATAAACAACTTGCTTAACTTTATTTTTTTTAAATAATATGTCATAATTATGTGTCTTAACATTGACAGAACTTTTAGAAATAGAGAAAGATTATCCGAATATATAATCATGTTTTAAGTATGTCAGTCTACTTTGTAGTGCAGACATTTTCAATATCTGACCTAATTACTTTAGTAAATGATATTAAAATCTGTTTATAAAATTTTTTAATAAGTAAAGTAAAGAAGTCTAATATTTTTGATTTGTTTTTTATTTTTAAAAAAATATAAGAAGCCAGTAATATTAAATGAAATCGTCTGTTGCGGATTTCTGTTGAGATATTTCATATTTCGGTCATCACTACTTTCTGCAACTTTCATATATAATACATTTTTGTAAAATATTGGAATATATTTTCATTTTTTTCGAGACTATCATCATCCATAGCTGTACAGTCCATGTAAGACTTAGGCTTGTTTTACGGCATTCCTTTATTCTTCTCTATTTTTGACTTTTATCTTCCAGTTGATGACATTCATATTTCTCAGATCTTTTCAAACACTGTTACTCCGTCTCTTTTTCGGTCTTCCTTTTCTTCTCGCTGTTCTAACTTCACTCTCGAAGATTGTAGCTGCTGCTGTTATTAACAAAATTAATAAATTGAATGCGACCGTCGGGTCTATTGTGCCCCCTTCTGGGTTTAGAGTAGGTCTCTAAACCCTGTTGCGTCATTAAAAAGTAGTATAGAAACTACTTTACAGATTTTTATTGCCTCTTTCCTAATAATATACATTTGCAGGAGCCTATTCCGTATGTGCATTAGCGCAGGGCATTCTAACACCACATGTGTGGCAGACTCGTCATTACCCAGTATTGTAAGGTGGTATTTTAGATTAAAGTGCCCTGTTAATTTAAGTTTAAATAATGAAAACATATAACAGCGAATCATATGAAAAAGCATATTTGAAATAAACAATTTGCTAGATTTTTATCTGTTGATTTGCTGTTGTCAAAAATTAACTTTTCTTAGGCAAAAATTAACATAACATAAACCAAACTTGAAACATGTTATTACACAAATTTAAATTAATTCAATATATCTCAAATATCCAATAATTGACTTTAGTCAAATAGGAGAATGCTGCCTCGAAACAATTCAATATGAAACCACGTTTCGTAAATTTAACTCTTAACTCCAAATTTTGTATAACGAATGCTATTCCTTTTCGTTTTTTGCTTTTATTTGCTCTTCGTGTGATTTTGTACTGTAAACACTTGTACAATTATATCTAATTGAGATCTAATAATTGTAAAGTGTAAACATTGCATTAATCATTTAATTCATTATTATTAATATACACCCTTAAAACTTTGAATTCATGCCTGGAAATTTACAAGTGAAATTAGAAAAAAAATGTAAAAGCATTGATAGCAGAAACCAATGCTACAAGTATCAGAACCTGAGCATTGGGATTATGTTCAACGAACAGTATAAAACTGTTGGCTATTGGTGATGTAAGCTGCAGGAGATCGGCGGGGGTGGAAGTGCATAATAAGTCTATAAGTTGTTTAATGAAATGGCTTGTGACGAAAATTATTTAATCGCAGATAGCTCGCGCTTTATTAACATTTCAATATTAAAGCATATTTACCGGATTATTATGCGTAAACGCTTCGTTTCTATTAGGATTCAGACGTCGCGTGCCAGCCAAGTTGCCACTCATTCATGCATTCGGTGAATGTGTGCGTATGTGTGTATGTATGTACTACTTGTGGATTGGTCTGCAATGTCGGAAAGCGTATGAACATAACTATATTGTCCATACTTTGTTGTTTGGGTACTTTATTGTTGCTTTTATTATGTCAAATATTTTTTATTGTGTTCGGACATAAATACACCCACATACACATACACACGAACGTAAATTAATTTAACACTCATACGCCCAGTTACACTGTTAATGTACAATTATCGCTTTTCTGTTGACTGTGAATTTATTTTTCTCGACATTTTTTTCAATGTTTGATGTATTGTTTTTCTTTTTCTTTTTTTTTTACTTTTTATTTTATAGGATTTTTTTTTGAATTTTCTAATTATTTCTTTTCAAATTTTTGGCGCGAAGTGGGATTTATATTGGAATCTCTGGTGCTATGTTTTGCACGTAATTTTCTTCATTCATAGATTTTATGTTAATGGCAATTTAAACTTATTTTAAAATACATTGTATATAGAGATATATTTATGCCTGAAAGTACACTTATCTGAATGCTCAGGTAAATACTTCAATAATTTGATAAATATTTATTTGAATTTTTAATTATTTTTATATACCCGTGTATGAAAGAAGCGTCGTGACGTATTTTCCAATAAACTTGAGCTTAGGATCTCCATTCCACTACCAAACCATTGCAGTGTCATTCAAACAGAAGTTATGTCGATTTATGTAATTTTCTCGGACAGCAATTATCAAAGCAATGATCAAATCTTTGGTAGGCGCTATAGATAAATCCCTAACAAGTCGAGAATGTTGGGGTTCTCTTAATGAGCTAGCTAGGTATATTCGTGTCCAACTCATAATGGGTAGCTAGACACAGGCACGTTTCGGTCAACAGCAGGGCAGAAGAGCTTACCAAGATAGGCACCCTGTTTCCTAACATTCATTTCTTAGGTATCAATATCCCACTTGTAATAGCCAAGTCAGCAATCAAATGAAAAAATATCAGCATAACTAAACAAACTTGGACAGATGAATCCTTTTGTGAAATCGTAAGTGTTTATAACTAAACAAGAAACAAGTCAACTGTTTCAATTAAAACTTAACTAATGGTTACAACATCGGTGCTGATTGATCACTGTGTATTAGGAAATGTTATGAGACTGGGTCTACCCTATAAGGACTTGTCAGGGTTGTGGCTCTGTGAATGAGTAGGAAATTGTACTCCACCTCATGTGTCAGCGTTTATCATTAGCTACTAGAAGATTCAAATCAGAGCTATCCTGCAAATTTGGAGACTTATTTTATTTATTATTTTATTTTTAATATATTTAAAAACTTGATTAGACACATTATATCATATTTAAAACGCGATTAAATATTTTAGGGATTTACTTTCTAGAATATCCAATATAGACATTTAAGACGTTTTTTTTTTTGTTGTTCCAACATTTACTTGGTTGCATACATATATTAAATCCGTCTCCTTTACAATTAATTCGACAAGCTTCATTGTGTTTATCCATTATACCACTTTTTGATTTATTGTTATTGTAGTGGAGCCGCTACGATCAATAAATCAGGTAACACGAAAGGAAAAGACGTGTAGATGGGTAAGGATGTGAAAGATAATGAAAGTGGTGAAGAGGATTAGTTAAGAGTTAGAATGAATTGAGTGATGGGTGGGGTGTGAATTGAAGTCAAGGTGGAGAAACCTAACCATTTCTATGGGTAGTCACTTGAACAAGTTTAGACTCAAGTTTGTGTGTACGTTAGGCAGAAAAATAGAAGAGTGACATCATGGGGGTACGTACAGCATTTTCATTGTATTTTGCGTTTTATATGTTATTTTCTATTATTGTTTATCATATATTTTAGATGTTAAGATTTGTTCTAAAATTGGATATATACACAATACTTTTAAAAATTTGATTCTTCTGTTTATATTTGTTTGTTCAACTTTTTTTTGAGTTTTATGATTGATATGCTATATAGTATATATATATTAAATAACTCTTTAGTGGGAGAATTTAGTATTTTACCATTTATTTTGTAATTTTAAAACTATAATCATATTGGGAAAACTAAAAATATATAATGACAAACTTAGTATATAATTTTTAGTTCATTGCAGTACAAAAAATTGAACATTAAATAATGATGATAAATGATGATTTCAGTTTAACTTAGTAATAAAATCAAAATATTAAATATTTGAGGTTATTTATAATAAGTGAACGTAAAGTATTAATAATATGTACAATTTATTTCAAATAATTTTAAATATTAAATTTCAGAATATATTAAAGTTAAAATATTTTATAGTATCATTATCACTAGTAATTTATTGCAAAATTAAATTTATTTTATTTCAATTTATTTTTAAAATATTCAATATAATTTTAACGTACAGAAAATATTATTATAACTTTTGCAATTATTTTCGTTTGAGTCCTGCTAATGTCTTAATACCAGTCAAATGATTCATGCCTCTTATATTAACACCAGGTATTGAGCGTTCCTTATTAGTTGCCTTTTTAACTTCATCGATTGCTGCAATAACTCGCGTGGGATTTCTTAAAAACCAAATCCATAACATTTGACTGTTATGCCATAATGTATCTTTTTTCTATAAAACAAAAAAAAATATATGTACAATAATTAATTATTAACTTGATATTAAATATTTTATTACACATTTTTTTTTAATATTTAATATTTAAGTTCAATTCCAAATATTTTTATTGAAGAATTATGATCGGACTATTTTTCATTTGATCGGATTATGATTCTATATGCAGACGATGGGTCGGACAGCCACATATCTTTTGCAGTATATTGCTGTGGTTTTTATTTTATTACTTTAAATTTTGTCTGCGACCCTATACTCCTAGGAGTTAAAAGAATTTATATATAATTTTGTCTGTCTCGCCGCATAATGTCTGAAATATCTCATTTCTTGTTAAAAACGAAATCTCTAATTGAATCTAGCAATAGTTCAAAAAACTTATATATCCATTATATAGCTTATATTGTTATAAAACTAAAACCTTATTATATTGTACATAAATAAAGATAATTACTTTATTTCATTGGATCTAGATTAGGTTAGTTTGTAATGGCGATACTGAAAAGCTACTTAGGCCTAATAGCATATAATGTTACCGTATAAAGTTCTAAAGGTTTAAAATCAGCTGGATCTTTGAACAAAACTTAAAATGCTCTTTAAAAAAATTGCAAAAAGGTGGTTTACCGTTGCCCAACGTGTATATTTTCAGATAAGTGAGTAGATAACTGGCAAACTTTTTTTAAAGTATTTTTGTAAACAATAAATTCGATAGTGGCATACATCAATATAAAAATGATCTGAGAGTGCCGTGAGTTTATTTTAAAGCTAAAGGCGATATTCATTATATTATTATAATTATATATTATATTATTATAATTATATATTATATTATTATAATTATATATTATATTATTAAATTATATATTTTGTTCATAAAAAGTTGAAATTTGAAAAAAAAAATATTTGCTTACCATTCGTTCTGTAATATTGGTATAAAATTTACCACGAATATCTCTTAGTGTGTCACTAATTTGTTGTTGTGAACTTCTAGCATCAAATAGTGGTATCAGAAAGTGGACTTGTTCAAAGGTAGGTCTCGCAACAGGACCATCATAAACCAATGGCTTCAAATTATTTTCTAATGATTTTCTGTAAATATGTGTATAATTATTATTTTTATAAATTTATGCTAAGACTACTTACAATTTGTTAATTAAGTCCATTAATGCTTTGCTTGACTTGATATTTGTCAAAGCATTCAGTTCATAAACAAATAAACGGCAAAATTTTTCATACTCATAAAGAAAAGGTTTTTGCTCATAACGCATTCTTTGACCCAAATGTTTCGACAGTAAGTCAACGCCTTTCTTTACCAAGATATTAAGATTTGCAGCATTAGACGTTAAAGTTAATTGTGAATTACGCATACATTTTATACGTTCCGAACATAACATTGCATCCGTATTTAATTTTTCCGTATTATCAAATCGGTTACGCTTTTTCTCCATGTCCAATTGTATAGCAATCCATATAAGTTCAGCATTTAGAATTGTGTCCGATATAATCTTGCCCAATTGTTTGTTATCTTCTAGACGTTTCGATGCTCGTTCCAATTTATTTTTTGTATTCTCGTATAGTATTAATTCAATTTGTTGTCGACTGTGCTGCTGTACATGCATGGCTAAATCATTTAAGAGAGTTTCATTTTTTAGATTGTGAGTATTTAATTGTTCGAATTCACGTGTAACACGTTCCATATGATCAAGACTGATTATATGCACTTGGGATATATCTAAATGATCGATTAGAGTTTGCGTAGCTTTTGCTTTAGCCTTTTCCTTAATATAAGCAAGCGTATAATGTGCAATACTGAATTCAATGATAATAATTGTAATTAAATTAACTTAATTTTTTTATGTATATTTACTTACGAGTTTTCTAATTCTTGTAATTTTTTAGCCAGTTCACAGTCTTCATCATCAATATCGAATTCAATATATTCCTTTAAAAATACAAATATATTTATATATGTCTTAGCAAAAAATATTTATTTGTGAATATGTAAACTTTACTTGAATTTTAAAATTCTCTTTCATGTATAAATTAAAATATTGCATAAAAGAATCACATTTTAAAAAATACTGCTCCAAAGGTAATTGATGCACAAATAAGGGTGGCGATTGCTGGAAGGGTTTGGTTTATTGTCAGTGTATATAGAGTAAATAATTTACTTACGATTTGTGTAAAATACTTTTTAGTTTCGTTGACTAAGTTTACATTTGCACGTTGCAATTCTTCTAATTGTTTTGTTTTGTTTTGACATACAGCTAGCATTTCCTTTTCTGAATTTTTTAATTTATTTAAACTTTCCTCGATCTTGCTGAGATTAGTATTAATTTGATCTTTATTAATTCTGAAAATTAAAAAGAGCACAACTAAATTTTAATATTAAAATTTTGTAGTTGAAAATATTACCGCATTTCTTCTATTAATATGGCATATGATTTATCAGCGTGTTCTAATTCCATTACCTCATTCACTAATGATTCCATTTCAGAATCTGATGCACACAAACCAGGATATTCATGTTCTAGTTGTTTTATACGTTCTTGTCGTTCACTGGCGTTTTGCAGTTCATATTCAATTAAATCTTTTTCAATTATTTCCTTTTCTGATAAAATATTTATATTGCTTATATTTTCATTAAAAAATTCGAAGAATTTACTAAAGCGATCATCATATAAAATCCACTGATTGGAATGGTCAAATCCTAATTTTTTCAAAATATCTGAATTCTAAATAAATACATCAGTAATTAATATACATTTTTCTTATATTAATGATACACTTACATTCACTAAATCACACATATTTATTGTATTCACGAAGAAAACATTGAATTAGTTTCAACTGTGAAGAATACACTTTACTGGGCGATAAATTTATAAAAAAAAACATAAAAGTGCTGCCAAGTTTACGATTGTCAATATGAATTTCAACCAAACGCAGCCAACTTAAGTGACAGCAAAAGCAATGACAAGTAAGATTTGTTTTTTTGTTGTGTCATATTCTTCATTAAGAAGCCGCTTCACGTTCCCGTTGAAGATAATTGTGTTAAAAACTATTTTATATTAATAATACTTCTATAATGGTATGTTTAAACAATTATTTGTAATATATTTTAGAAAAGTACTGTTCATATATGATATATGCAGAAAAAATATTGAATCATTTATATATTTGCGTAGGCTCGTCGCTATGATTCCCGTACAACAATTTTCTCACCTGAGGGACGCCTCTACCAGGTTGAATATGCTATGGAAGCAATTTCACATGCTGGAACTTGCTTAGGCATCTTAGCCGAGGATGGTATATTGTTAGCTGTAGAATGCCGTAATACTAACAAGTTGTTAGACACTGCTGGTGTTTATTCAGAAAAAATCTACAAACTAAGCGAGTAAGTTGAAAATAATAATATAAATACATAAATCAATTAATATAATCTTTTTGATAGTGATATAGTTTGTTCAGTAGCTGGTATTACATCTGATGCAAATGTGTTAACTAGTGAACTGCGTGTACTTTCTCAGCGCTATCAATATAATTATGGTGAACCAGTCCCTGTTGAGCAGTTAGTATCGTATTTATGTGACATAAAGCAGGCATATACACAATATGGTGGTAAACGTCCATTCGGCGTTTCAATACTATACATGGGCTGGGATAAACATTATGGTTATCAATTATACCAATCCGATCCTAGTGGTAATTATGGTGGTTGGAAGGCAACATGCATTGGTAATAACTTTGGAGCTGCTATATCAATGCTAAAACAAGAATTAAGTGAAAATGAAAAGATTTCATTAGTGCAAGCTAAGGAATTAGCTATAAAAGTTCTTAGCAAGACACTTGATTCAACTAAGTTAACAACAGAAAAGGTAGAAATGGCTACATTAAAGCGCATTGATGACAAAACAGTTATTCAAAATTTACCAAAAGATGAAATAAGTAAATTGATTGAAAAGCATAATAAATTGGAAGCAGAGGCAGAAGCTGCTAAAAAGGATAAACAACCTAAACTTTAAGAGTTAAATTACATTTATATAATGGTGAGAGGTAAAACTCTACTTTTTGTATTCAAGATATAATTAAATTCCTTGGAATAAAATTTCAAAATAAATATAATTCATTGCTCTCTTCTTTTATAATACAGAATTTAGGCAAAAAGTAATGTTTGTAAATAAATACTCATAAAACCAAGAATAGAAAAAACATATTAACATATGATGAAGCCGAATTAAAATAGAGTCAAAATGTTTTCATTCTAAATATGGATTTTATATTATTTATAAATGGTTTTTACAACTAAGTTTTAGAATAGTTATAGAAAAAGCAGATTATCATTGAGATCATTTGTTATATAATTAATATTAATGATAACACGTTATTTAAATTACACTCAAATTTTACTAGTTATACAAAAATAAATAAAAGAAATAATTTTGTAGACATTAAAATATGCAAATTTATAACAATAATTTGAAAGTTGCTTGCATTTAAACTAAATTAGTATTGATGAGTATGCAATTATAATATATAAATATAAAACTAAAATAATTAATTGTTATTTACTTAAAATATATATGCAATTTAAAAACTTCAACACATATTTTTTAATTTTTGTTAAAGTTTTTACATAAAAATATGTAATGTAACCAAAACTTTGAAAATACATTTTAAGTAAATAAAACACATAGATAAAAATTCTATAAATTATTCTCTTGAAACATAATTCTATATATTATCATGGATCATCATTCTATATATTAGGGATATAATTTAATACAGTTGTAGAAATACAATAATATATAATTTTGAATTTATACTGTCGCATTTAACTCTATAAATGTGTTACACTATTTTTCATATGTAATTCATTTAAAAATATGCTAATGATATTCAATAATTGTAAGAGTAAACATGTCATTTATTTTTTGCAAATTCATGCGCTCTCATGACAGAAGTAGCATATATAAATATTTTTATTAGAAAATGTTGGTCACTCTAACAATGCTTCCAAGTTCAATCACACAATAATTTCTATACACCTGAGCGTTATTAACAAGGTTGTATTTTATATCAGTAAAAAAGTATACTCTTTATGTCATAATAATTTTTTTTACATATAATACAGAAACTATAAATCATTAGGTTTATTTAATTCCTTTCTTAGACACATTGTTATAAAATTTAAAATTTATTGTTTTTTTTGTTCACTTTCGTTTAAACTGTTTATATAGATTCTTATAGTTTATACAACATATTGATATGTAGACAATATACGGTACATATATTGTTTCTATTAATTTTTAAATTATAATTCAAAAAATCATAGAGAAATAATTTTTAAATATTTATTTGTGCATTCAAGTTTCTGTAATTAATTTAACACATATGTTTACGAGTGGTAAAAGTTGCATGTAATACTCTTTTAGAAAGTAGCAGTTTGAATGTTGCATGCTACAGCAACACTGTTCACGCACGACGACCATTTTCTTAATCTACTGCTGTTTACTCTTGTTTGCGAGGAAATTGTTAAAATTTATTTAAAAAAGTCTAAAAAAATCGTTTTATTTATAACATAGCTAAGTAAAAATTAATTGATTAGCGTTGTGTGTGTTTATTAATATAATGGAATTAAAAGATTACGGGAAATTAAACACGCAAAACGAAAACGTCGGATGCATGATGTGTGTATGTGTACAAAACTATGAGCAGAAATGGCAGAGTGAGCGAAATTAAAATGGTAGAAAATATGCAAATAAATTGAATTAAAAATATCACAAAAAAGTTTCATAAAGAAGTCTACATTTGTGCATTTAAAAATTATGTAAGCTTAATTGATATGTGATACGGATTTAAAATAAAATTTATTAAATTGGAAAATTAAGGTGTAAGTGGAAAATATTAAAAAAGAGGAACACAAAAGTTAGGCCGCTGTAACTGCGAAGCGGCGACGTTGTCACATAACCTCAATATTGACATCCCGCTTTAAATTTGTAATTGTGGGGTAAGTGCGAATGAAACCGTAAATGTATCGGAGCGCAGCGCTGCCGGTTACGACGGCAACTGAGAAGTACAATCCAGAAAAAAATAAAGAACGTAATGCTAAAAGAGAAAATTGGAAAAAGAAGAGTATGTGAATGTGATTGTGTAGTAAGTGAAATAAAACATAAAAATAAAAATTAATCCAAATGCAGAAACCACCAACAAAATGGATAATAAAAATACACAATTGGATTTCAAATTACTGGTAATTAAACATAATATTTTGTATAACTGAATATAAGCATTGAGTAATATTGCTAAATTTATATCGTTCATTGTTAGATATACTTGAATTATGTAAAATAGAAACATAGTTTCTTGTATACAAAAAGCGCTCATTGTGAAATAAAACCTTAAATAATTTCATTAAAGAAGAAAATCATTTCGTTGAATCACACGTCAAATATAATAATTTCTATTTTGATTTAATTAAATATTGTCGTTTTCGAATATGCTTAAAACTTGATAGAAAACTAAGCTACCAAAAATACTTCATATTTTAGTTAAAGAATTAAGTAAAAATATTATTTTTTTCTGCTGTTTTAAATTTCAAACGACTTTTATTGTATTTATTAATAAAATATATGAGTTAATTGATAATGTCATCACTTCCTGTTTTACTCTTTATCATGTGTACTCATATATTTACGTTTATCTACGTTTTGGCGCAAAAGTATCTATAGCACAAAAAAGTTAAATTTGTTCTAGTCATTAATATGTGGCATGTATATGAATATCAAAAAATAACAAAACCTATTAATTTTATATAAAAAACGCGATTTATTCAAAATGTATAAACATTTTCACCTATTTGTACTGCTTATGTTATTTCAATTTAAAATTTAATTCTAATCCCCATTCCCACCATTTAATTAAATGTTCAAAATATTTTTACTTACATACATTTTGCCTCCACTCTCTAAATTTTCTATTTTGCCGCACCCTCCTACCGCACTTCTACATCACCCGCGCCTATGCTATCATGGCATGCATACACACACACACATACATGCCTGCATACCTTTCTTTACTTCCGCAGCTTGTTTAGCGACAGCAACAAGAGCAGAGCGAACACTCCTCTGCTCCACCCCACCCCACCTGCTACAAAAATTACTACCATTATTGCCCCAACTACTGCGTTCTCCACATGCTTGCATACATATTTTTTTATTGCTTCCTTATGTTTGGGCTTGCAATGAGTACTCCTTTATTCTATATTTTGATATGATTCTATTACACTGTTGTTATACACAGCTATACATATGTATATAAAAATATATATGTATGTATATATTCAAATAATATTTATTTATATTAGTTTATAACAACATTATGTACTGCTTGTTAATTTATACATACTTACAAACTCACAAACTTAAATATAAATACTACAATATTATTGTATACCACCACACCAATACAATTTGAGTTCATTTAAATGAGAGAGTGAATGGAATGGAATGAAATGAAGAAGAATAGACTAAAAGAGCGTCATATGCAATTAAAGTGTTGCTAATTCTTTTTAGTTTTATTTTATTTTATTTTTTTTTTTTTTTTTGGTTTTGTTTTTCTTAATTAATTCCCCTTTTATATTCCCCAATTTAAATTTTTTATGGGTTTTAATTGAGTTTATGACTTTGGGAAGTTTTTCTCTTTGTTTTTCTTTTTTTTTGTGTCAACTTCACGTATCAACAAAATGTATTGCTTAATTTTTTGTGCACAGTGTAAGAAATAACACAAAAACTAATTGTAAATAGTAAAATATTTTTCGAATGAATTACAAAACTTTTATAATTTATAAATGTTTATAAATTATAATTTATGTTGTTAATTTTGTCTTTTTTTTTTTGACCCAGGATAAGGCACTTTTGTAACAAAGTAGTACATTTGCATGTGCTCAGCAGTATTTATGTATGTCTGTAGAAATTTAAATAAATCGATTCACAAGCATGCACACGTATGTATATATATATATATATAGTTATGTATGCATGTATGTGATATAAACACATAAAAACTTCTAGATGAATATTTTTGTGCTGTTGTGTCATGTAACTAAGCTCATAAATTTACAGAGTTTTTTAAAACAAAATTATTTTTGTCAGGGTGGAAAGGTTAGTGTGCTGAAATAATTCTTCAAGGTCCTAAACATATATCTCGATAATGTTAAAGCAAAACTATTTCTAAACAAATGTTACGACGTTATATGTAGTGGTTCCAAGGACGGCTAGGTAAACATCCCAGACAACCAAGTGCCAACGCTCCCAAAAGGAACAACACAACCAGATCCTTGCGGGGTACAACAACAACGTTATATACAGTAATTTGTTGTTTGATTCTATTATACCACTGATTCTTAAGGTATTTCTATAATGGACTGGAATTTTAAAGGAAATTATGAACTTTTGAAATGTTATCTTGTACTGCAGCTCAGGTCTTATCATTGGTTTGACCTACCTAAACGGTAATATAGCACACATATTCAATATATTAGATTTTCTTTGTTTCCAAAGTTAATGGGAATGGTTGGTTGGTTACAGTTGTAGATGAGCAGATAGTTTTAAACTGATCTCGTTCACGCAAGATATAAAAACTCAATCTAAATCCATTTCGTCGAATTTAGATAATTTAATAGATCTTTTGTCCTTAACGATGAACAGTCTGACATGTTGTCAAAAAAGTAATTCCTTAAAAATCAATTTCTTCTGGAAACCAGAGCATTCCCAGAGAAAAAGTATAAGTTTCCACAACTTCTATAGTAAGTATTAAATGCAATGCGCAGTGTCTCTGCGTGGGTTCCTATAGACTAGTGACTAGTGAAAACTGCAGCAAATCTTGCCGTATTCATGCGGTCTCTTTTATTGAGTTCGCAGGATTAAGCCTTGTTATAAGAAAACTATGTTAACCTAGAATTTACACATAGCCTAAGTGCCTTCCATTTGTTATTGGTAAGCTGAAGGAAGAAAAGGTAAGTGCTTTTCAAATTGATCTCTAGGGCTTATGTACAATGTCACGGGAACGTCAAAATCGGACCTGCAGGCTATGACGAAAATGTCTTTTATGCAGAAAGTGACATCAGTTTGGCAATTTCGTATTTTTACTATGATTTTTGTACTTTTTGATAGCCTCGGTTCTTAAGATAGAATTTAAACTGACATTTGTGTTTTTCTCTCACTCTAAATTTTTTAATTTGCATTGAACGCAACAACAATTCTGATTTTGACATGCCCGTGACACTACATAACATGGGTCTAGGGGGAACTTATACCGGTACCACTAGGGCTGTATTTAGGGAAACACCATGACAGGCCAAAACTCTGTCGACTACAACATTGCAAAATATATTTTTTAAAAGGCCTTATAGCCTTATAAAAATTAGATTTAATGTCACTAGGACCTGCATGCATTGTAAAATGCAGAATTAAATATTTGTCGTTTCAAATGGTTTGCATCCTGCGAAACCATTACCATCATTTATTTCTCGAATCGAATGAGAACTGGAGTCTTCAATCAAATGATATTGCATAACTAAACAATAAAAGAATAACTAAACAATTATAAAATCTTAAGAAACACTCTAAAGTGAATGAAGACTTTAGCAAAGCTCGTTTACTAAAGTTCGTAATGTTAGTATAGCATTAGAATCTCGCTTCAACTACCGAATAATTGCAGTGCCTTTCAGACAGAAGTAATGCCAATTCATTACGTAGCAAAATGGGTCTTATGCAACAAGGTCCTTCAATGCTCATCTTTGGCCAAGAGAAGCTAAATATTTCACACCTATCTCACCTATCTTTATATATCTTTATATGTCTCACCTATTTTTATCGACCTGGCAGAGCTATCGTCATGCAAAATTAAGGATTAAGCTTAATTTAAAGACGTGCCAGATTGATTCACATTCACTTGCATGGAGCAATCGTGACTTCCATCTTAATCAGACCGCTGAACGTTGCGGTCTTTTTGGGGGTCAAAAAGCAGTGGTAACGCAACGGGTAAATTACTTAAGCTCAAGTGGGCTTTAGTGCACAAAACCGACACTCCAATCTAATCTAACCTACCAGCTCCATTGAAGGCTTAAAAATTTTTGTATTTACTCGTTTATAGTAGAGTTAATATTTTATTTAATAATAATCATCACTTCATCTGCCCAGCTGTGGATGAAATATAGTTAATTACTTACATGCTTCGAGGATATGGCTGTGCAATATTAATTTTTATGTTTGTTTAATTTTTTAAGAGTTTTATCAAATACAAAGTAGTTTCTTCTCGATATTGGTCTCTTGGTTCAGAACTACGTTTATCTTGTTTGTATAATCTAGTTATTTTTATTTGAGCATTTATTCAGCTTCTAGAAATTATTTCCAAATATTGTCTAAACAAATATTATTTAAACTATAGAAACGTTTTATATGGTTTTTTTGCCAGTGCATCACTTACTCCTATAAATTATGAAGAAAATGGAATAATATAGATTTATATAAAAATATAGATAGATTTAATTTTTAAATAATATTTAAATTAATATTAGCAAAAACTATATGTTTTGTAAATAGTAATTAGTAATGACATAAAAATATTTTTTTTTCTATATTCTACCCACTTCAAGGGCTTACACAATTATACAGTCTACAGGTTTTTATTTCATGATTCAAGCAAGACTTTAGTATCTAACAAAACTAATAGAATATTAAAGGCAAACAATACCGCATAGCTTAACAATACATGTTAGTCGGTATATTAATAATTACGTACATATATTAAGTAATTTTAATAAAATTAAGAATAATTTTGAATTTATTATTCGCTGTTTCTGTGCAGAATTGAAAATGAAATTGTTTTTTTTTTAATTAATTTTTTCCTGCAGAAAAGTAATTTACTGAAAGGTCTTCATTATTAACCCTGTAAAAAAACCTAAAAAACAAAGTTAAAAAGTTTAGGTGGTTTTGTGCCAATTTCTAAACACTGCATTTCTAAAAATAATTTTTTACATAAAACCATTCGTACATAAATAAATATGTTTCTATCTATGAAAGTAGGTACAGTATCGAACAAAACATTTGCACAATTTTTGATGCCGATTATTAACAGTTTAATGAGATTGTAAGGGAACTCTAATTTTTAGAAAGCCTTTGCACTATAATAAGTATATAAAAAATTCAGGGAAATTAAGTCTGTGGGCAACTTAGGAAGGGCGTTCAATTA